CGCGGAACAGCTTGTCTTAGCTATTATTGGAGTATCATATTGTGCCTGGAACCCCAGAACATGTGCACTGGGATTAGCACCGATCCAGCGGATGCGACCGTGGCCTCACCATCATCTGAGAGACCCCGGAACTGTTCCGGTGACTATCCATAGCTTAGACAGTTGCATTGAAATCTACGGGAGAAAGAATATCATCGTTTTGCGGATTCTGCTTAGTCCAATGGTTGATCACCCTGTAAGCAGTCTTCTTCGACAGTTGCCAAAATTGCGTGTCCTCCTGGACCCAAGATCGTCCAGTGATTGGGAGTACCAATGACCAACTGAGGTTCCAAATACGAGACACCGTGAATCCGAGCGTCCAGCATTGCATCAGAGAACACAAGAGGAGCGATATATGTTCGGATTCCTCCTGCAGCGTTCTGGACTGAATAAGCGTCAGCTTCGGATTTTGGGGGATGCGGGACAGTGGCAACTAGCCTATGAGTTAGGTTTTACCTATCTCGAAGAAGGTGATGACTCCTCGACTATTTCCTCGATTTGAGTGGCTGCTTAGTTTAGAATCATGTTCATTCTTGTATTATATGCTTGATAGTTTTCCATATAGTTTTTGTCAATATTAGTGAAATAATTGTTTCAGAGAGTTCTTTTGCAGATCCGAACTTCAGAGTGCGTGGTGCAGAGAGGCCCCGAGAAGGACCACATCACCGAGAGGAGTGAGTGCCTGATGCACGACTCCGCCATGACGACCTCTGAAGCCCTGATCGTTCAATTTGTTGTTATGAATATAATTATGTGTATGTTTGTGTATGCCGACTATTATTTGATTCGATCCCTTGAGGACGAATTTCTTTTGTTAGCTAATTTTGTATATGTTTATTTAGTTCCACAGACCGTCGACAGAGCTCCTGATGACCTGGGTGACAGATTTGAGGTATAATTCTGTTATGCCTTCAGCAAGGGGGGATGTCATGACCCAAAAGGCATGATTGTGTGCGTGTGCTTCGGCACCAGAATTATCCCCATCAAGTTGCAGAGCATTGCACGGGAGTGTTTCCTGTTGCAGAGGAAACCCCGGTGCAGGGACCAGTTTCCCGCCTTTTCTGCAGCTTCTTTTGCAGAGGTCATTGCTCATGTTGCAAGAGGAATGCACGGTGCAAAAGAGTTCCTGCCACCGGTATGCAGATTCGTTCCCCGTGATTGGCTAGTGCTAAATTATTCACACGTGGCGGCTAGCGATTGGCCTGTTAGCCGTATAAAAGGCTTGAGCAGTTTCCGCCCAAGCCGAAGAGGACTCCACATCCATCTCGTGGGGACTCTGGGTACACGGCAGGGTCATAGAAACCCTGTGTGAGATCCAGAGGAGCATGGCGGCCTGATCCACTGCCCACCTCTTCCCGTCTTCGAACGCAACTTTTATAAGACGTACTTACGATTTCTATTTTGGTGGCTCGTTCACCCAGAGCATCCGGAGCTCTGCACCGTGGAGCCTAGCAACCTCCACGAGACCGTCTGTGCTGTTTGTCTGTAACTGCAACTTAATCAAGCTTTCCAGCCTACACCACTGCCATCTCGGTGTAAGTAAACAATCTTTTAAACTACCGCTACGCGTCCGTGCCTAATTCCAGCTCGAAGGCCTTCCCTCTCCGCCCCAGCGTGCCCGGGCTGCTGGCCACAGCCCGCGTGCAGCGCGAAAAGGGCTCGGGTCGCTCCCGGCCCGCACACCTTTCAAAAGGAAAGAGGGTCCTTGTCACTTGGAACACAGGAAGAAAGATTTTCAGGAATCAGGTAGATTAATGACAAAGTCAATATCAGTGTTCAGCCTTTAGTCCTTAACATCCAGACAGTTTATGATTCTTTGTTTCCAAGTTCACTTTTTGAATGTGTGTTGTAAATTTCCCTTGAGCATGAGGATAGTGAGGTCAGAACCTGTGATGGTTCTATAAAAAGCATGTTCCTACGGATGTTTGTGCGTCTCTGTCCTTTATATTTTTTCCGTGAAAGTTCATTCTGGTGTGTAGTTTCTGTCTAGTTTAGAGCACATAATTACCCTGAATTTGGTGCACTGGACCAGATAGATCACATTTTAGGAAAGCCTTATGTAGGTTGCATGGGTTCTGATGGGTTCATTGTGAGAGCGTTGATTGTTGTAGCAATGTAGAGTGTAGCAGGTTTTGCATCTGTTGTTAAGGCAAGGCTGTATCCCATCAGATGTTTTTTGAACAGTCTGGAAATTTGCTTCTGATGATGAGTTAAGCAAGGTGAGGGAATCATTTGAAAGGCAAAAGGTATCTCTCAAGGTCCAATCTATATTAAGTATAAGCCATAATGGTTTGATAATTCTTCTAATCAGTTCCAGTGCGAGGTGACAAGTGACCACCAGGGATGTGCAGTTAACAGAGGGGTTTCTTTTTGCACTGTAGCAGGTAACTGCAGGACAACTGGGTGGCTCTCTCAAAGATATGGCCTATTTATCTAGACTACTGGAGTGTCTTTACTGTATAAAGGCAGATTTCAGGTTGGTCTGGTAGGTATCACAAGTATTCCCCTCCGAGCAGACGCAGTAGTATCTGAGGCCCTGACTGCAGATTACAGATTTTCTGGTTTGCTTGGGATGACTGCTAGTTTTGTGGACATAAGTATGGTGGTCTCTGGGACATTTCTATATGTTTTATAGGATGATATCCTCAATGTGAAAAACAGTATCTAGAAAGCTAATATTAGTGTAGGAATATTCACTAGTGTAGGAGAGAATTTTATCAGGATGTCATAGTTGTTAAACCTGTGGTGGAAATAAATAAGTCGAATGATCAAAATATTACCTATGTAACACAGGTATAGTGCAAGTCCAATGGTTCCATTTTCTAAAAAATTCCTCCTCCATATGGCTCGTGAAGAGGTTGACTTATCCAGGGGCCATTTTCTGTGCCCATAGCTGTGCCCATGATTTGGAGAAAGTGTCAACTGTTGAAAGTGAAGTTGTGGGTGCGGATGAAGTGGATGATTGGTAGAACATGTTGTAAACCTGAGTCTAGTCTATGTTTTTCTAAATATTTCTGGCAGGCAGCTGTGTCTTTGTGGTATTGGATGTTAGTATACAGTCTGGTAACATCCTTGGTTCAAAGCATGGTTTTCTCAGGAATAACGCTGACGTTCTGGATTTTTTGAGGAAGTCTGTTGTGTCTTGAAGAAAACTTCCTCTTCGAGTGACAAAGTTTCAGGATAGATTCTATGAATTCCGAAAGCTCTTCAATGAGGGTACCACAGTTGGGTATGATGGGTCTACCTTGCTTGTGAACCTTGGGGAGCATAAATAAAGTTGCTAAGGTAGGAGGGTGGGGGATCAATGGAAGTAGTTTTTTTCTGAAACTAGTGTGGAAATGATTTCATAACATTTTCCATTTCCAGAATGAGTACTGGTGTGGGGTCCTCCCTAAGATCTTTATAGTAGTTGGTGTCAGAGAGTTATCTGTTAACCTCACTGAAGTAGTCTTGACAGTTGGGGATGACTACATCTCCACCTTTGTATGCTGGTTTGAATGTTACTGTTTAAGTCTATTCGAAACATGAAGTTGTAGCCCAGTAAAAAGACGCCATCCACAAAAATACTTGTCTTTCACTTAACTCCTAGACCATCATGGCTACATCCCTCTAACACTTCACAATTAAATATAACTAACCATCTCTCCACCCTCTTAGTATGCTGGGTGTAGCATACTGAGAACAAATGAGTATTTTAGTATTTTTCTCAATACTTTTTGATTGATTAAATACAAAAAAGTTCCCAAATTTTAGGAATGAAAATACGAAACTATGCAAAAAATTCACTTTTTCCACTACCATTGACAGAACACAATCTGATCATTTATTTTTGCCTGTTCACTTGACATTGGGTTTTTGCTGAGAGTTCCATTATGTAAAAATGCCCTTGCATAACTTGTTGACCTTGGAACATAGATGCATTAAAAACAAAAAAAATTACATACAATTTC